CCAAAAATCCCCCACCCAGCCATGCTGGCTGGGGAATTCTGGGAGTTGAAGTCCACCCATCTTCAAGTTGCTAAGGTTGAGAAACACTGTTCTAAACTATACAGCCCCATCCTATACTTACATACTCAGAAATAAGCCTGACAGTGTACAATTGGGCTTTCTCAATCAATGTGGGTAGAGTTACTGCCAAAAAACAATTTATTAAGAGCAGCATTCAGCCAGAAATAAATGTATACCTTCTTAGGTCTCCTGCATAATTTCTGATATAAGAATTGAAGGAGCAGTTGGGGATATGAGATCATACCTTCCTTTGCTGATGAAGTTCCTAGCCCTGGGTGAGTATGTTCCAAAGTTCTTTTGAGATGCATTATTCGTGACTATGTGTAATAAATTACACAGCATGATTTACTTTATGGTCATTATCATTTCCCCTCCCCGAAAGCTGCAACTCATTTCACAATCAATAGAGCTGTTGTAGTGGAGGCATCTATACGCATCACCCAGGCTGCTTTTGTGCCCCTCCCCTGCTCCAAATTTGCAACTGATTTAATGTAATTTAAATTATTTTAAAACTGGATGAGATAGGACATTTGAAGAGTAGTGACAGGCCAGCAGCAATTTGTAAGAAGGCCAGAGTGAGTTCTACAATTGAGAGAGGAGGAACTGCTGGCTAATAGGGTGCCCCATACATCAGGGGGTCTTTCTGGTCTGCTAAGCAGCAGTTCATAGAATCCAGTGAGAGGACTATGATTTGAATTTCCTGACATGCCCCAGAATGATGCCACATCATGTGGGAACTTAAACTGGTATCTTCTACACCAGTGTTTCCCAATCTTGGCAATATTAAGTTGTGTGGACTTCAACTCCCAGAATTCCACAGCCAGCATGCTGGCTGAGGAATTCTGGAATTTGAAGTCCACACCGCTTAAGGTTGTCAAGGTTGAGAAACACTGTTCTATATCTTTTGGCCTGCAACACTCAGATTGCCTAGTTACACCTTGGTACGGCTGAGCCTTTGCTACTCCTTCTGTTCACTTGCCTTTTTCTTTTTTTAAGCATCGCAAATATTGTCTTTGGGAAGTGTGCCTGACACAGGTAAGTGACCTTCAAAAGATATGGTAAAACCTGTAGAATATTCCAGCAAACCTGACAGACAATCAAATTTGGATCAATTGCACAGAGCAGTTGATCAGAATGCCCTGAGGAAAAAGCCATGAGAATGAGGCCCAATTTGATTGAGGGTGTCAAAATGCAAACAGCTTGAAGTTGTTTTCTTCAGATGTGTGGACTGCTCCCGGAATTCTCAGCAAAGGGCACATCTGGAGAATGCCCTGGCTGATATCCCCAATAGCACAAGTCTCACTCCAAATGAATCCTAAAAGAATGATATGCCTAATATTGGGATGATGTCAAGCTTTTTGACTGCTGCCTGAACTGAATGTGATTTTTCCCCAAGCAGGATTCTCACAGAGTTCTCTTTAACAAGATTTGTTGAAATAAAAGCAGTAGGGGGTATAAGAATTCCAGCAAGCACACTTATTCTGAGCTTAGAACCTATGTATCTCAGTGTATATGAGGGCAGAAACATTTTGACTTTCTTTTGCCCAGCCTTACAGTGAAGGGAGGGGAGGTGGCTTTCTTCCCTGATACTAGGGAAATCTGCAGTTGGTCATTTATGTAACTGTTGCTTGAATCTATCAATCTGAGAATCAACTCTTACTGATATTGCGAATGTTGTATGTTAGGTCTTCTACCTACCTTTACCCCTTATCTTTTCTGGGGACCTTTCTAGACACCCTGCTCTATCCTTATGGTCCCAAGTATCAGGACAGAAGCACCCCAAAGGCAGATGATGGAGCATCTCCCGAGATCTCCATCTCTGAATACTTCTACTTTTATGGGCGGAAATATCATTCCCTTTATGTAAGTATTCTCCTGACTTCTCCTACAAAGCTACAGTACTCTTATCTGTCGCTTAACCACACCACAAGTCTCTACTTTCATCCCTCCAGGTGAACAACAATGGGGTGGTGTCCTTTGGCAACCCCGTCAGCCAATTCACCCCGGATCCTTTTCCTCTGATGGATGGCCGAGCCTTTGTGGCTCCTTTTTGGGCTGATGTTGATAATCGCATCACAGGGGAGGTCTACTACAGGCAGAGTCAAGACCAGGGGCTGCTGCAGAGAGTCACAGCTGATATCCATGCTTACTTTCCACATGAAACGTTCATAGCTACCTGGGCCTTTGTGGCCACTTGGGACCAAGTTGCTTTCTATGGATCATTGTCCTCCAAGGTAGGCCAGTTCAACTGGTTTTGAATGAGGGACCTTTCACTAGAGTTTTGCTGGGCACTTCCTGACATAGTAACACCTATTTCAATAAAATGCAGCCTGCATACAATTAATTGCATGTATTTCTAATGTGAAAGAGCCAGTTTGGTGCTGAGATTAAAGGCACTGGACTAGAAACTGGGAATTTGTGAGTGCTAGTCCTGCCTTAAGCACAAAGCCAGCTGGGTGACTTTCTTCCTCTCTCAGCCCTAGGAAGAAGGCAATGGCAAACCACGTCTAAAAATGCTTTCAAGAAAACTGCAGAGGCAGTGGCTAGGGGTCAAGACTGACTGCACCAATTAATACATAATATAATGCAATCAGGAACCCCAAAAGGCTCAAGACCATGAGGAATAGGTGTTTTCCTTCCTTCCACTGTCTCAAGATTATTGTTTTCTAAAGTGTCAAAGTTCTTCAAATGGGAGTAGTAGAAAGTTCCTTTGAAGTATAAATAACAGCTTTCAGAAGCAGTTTTTGTTATGAATGGGAGCCACACTTTCCAACTACAGTGGTACCTCGGGATACGAACTTAATCCGTTCCGTGACTCTGGGCGTATCCC